TGGGTCTGAATCAAATAGCGGAGAACGAAGGTCCACAAGGTTACCTCTATAGGGCTTTTCCCAATATTTTGGAAACTATGTACTTCATGGTGATACCACGGCAGGTTTTTCTGAGTCTCATGTCCTTGCAATATTGTAGTTCCTACTAATTTCTAGTGGTCCTAGAAAAATCATTCTGGGTCTGAATCAAATAGCGGAGAACGAAGGTCCACATGGTTACCTCTATAGGGCTTTTCCCAATATTTTGGGAACTATGTACTTCATGGTGATACCACGGCAGGTTTTTCTGAGTCTCATGTCCTTGCAATATTGTAGTTCCTACTAATTTCTAGTGGCCCTAGAAAAATCACTCTGGGTCTGAATCAAATAGCGGAGAACGAAGGTCCACAAGGTTACCTCTATAGGGCTTTTCCCAATATTTTGGAAACTATGTACTTCATGGTGATACCACGGCAGGTTTTTCTGAGTCTCATATCCTTGCAATATTGTAGTCGCTACTGATTACTAGTAACCCTAGAAAAATCACTCTGGGTCTGAATCAAATAGTGGAGAACGAAGGTCCACAAGATTACCCCTATAGGCCATTTTTACGTATATTTAGGGTCTATGTTCTTCATGGATTGAAGTAAAGGAAAAGTTCAACGGATCAAGCTGAAATTTTCAGCAATGACTACTAACATGTAGTTGAGCATTTGCTGAAAGTTTCAGGCAATTCTACCTTCACTTTCTAATTGGGCCGAAATGCACCTAAAACGTCCCCCGTCCTTTAGCTGCCAATGAAATATTTGAAAGAGCACTCCTTATGCTAAAAGAAATCGTCATTAAGCATGGGTATTAATTTAGCTACTGATATGAAAAGGTGAGAAGAATGCAGAAAATGATATTACAAGAAAATAAAATTACAAGAACTTTTTAAGTATTTGGTATTTTTCTTCTCCTGCTTCGTAGATTCATCCTGGAAAAATAAACCCATTACTAAATTTGTGGCTTAGACTTTGCTCTTTCGAAGAAATAAAGAATTCATAGGTTTGGAAATTATCAATATCGTTTAACAAAGTGTGACATTTTTTGTCAAGACTTTTGCATCGTACGTTAGACTTCATCCGGGGGAGACTCTATTAGGTAGTTAATATTGATTATATTCTATTCGTAGGCTTTGCGACACATCGTCAGAGAAATAAAGAGTTTATTTATGTTTTAATGTAAAGAGAGAAAAAAAAGAACGAAAGAAACGTTTTGCAATTTCTTTGGAAGAATAACAATATCATCGTCAACGTCAACATCTATGACGCATACAGAAAGTTTCGCAACCTCATGAAACTATGTTTGCCCTTTTACGTCTTCGTCAGCAGCAGCACAAAACTATTTTGAGAGTGGGTGTGCGTGTGAACAGGTAAGATATAGGTATGTGTGCGGGTCTGGGTGTTGGTCCAGGCAAAATAAAATCTGCATCCACACACTTCACACCCGTCCCCTCCGTGAAAGCCTCTTTGGTATTGGTTTGATGCTGATAAAAAATGTTAATATCTATCCGAAGGAGTCCGAAAGTGTGTACATAATCCTAAATATGCAAACATTATAATAGAAAACAGTTTAACTTAAACGATGACTCTTAGTAGAGCAGGATGAAAGCAACGTACGACAAGATCGAATCAAAACATGCATTTCCATAACCAACGATTTCACGTCACAGGCACACATGTTTTTTTTTATCAGTTGTATGACTAATTTAAATGTGACCAAAGGAATGAGAGGTAAAAACAAAAGAATCAAAAAAGGGTGTGGGTGTGGGTGTGGGAGTTGGTATTATTAAAGGAAACACCCACACCCACACCCCATGTGGATGTAGGAAATGGGAATCACAGAACGTCTCTTGCTGTGTAGGTGTGAGAAAAGACTGATCATGCGTGATGGTGAGAGGTAGAATTCATACTCATAGCTGCAACCTATCGACTTATTTGGTATTTACCTGTCTATTTCACTCATCCTATGTATAGTTTCGATGAATCATCTATTTACCTATTTACCGATGTAGGGACTGATTCATCCAGTCGATATGTGGAGAATTATGATTCATCGGTTTATGACAAAATTTCAGTGATAATATCAATAGGATTTGTCGTGGACTCAAAAAAGGAATATGGAAACAAAACGAAAGAATAGTAAAAATGCGAAACCAAAAACTAACAGGATGCTGAAAAGAGGCAAAAAAAATAGTTTTCAAAATGTAGAAATAAACAAGATAAATTTTTTCTTCAGTGATTATTGAATTTAAAAGACAACTACAGTTCATGAGAGAATTCTCATTTTACGCATTCCCATTGCCTGATCGACACTAAAACAATATACGTGAGTTCCACATTTTGGTTCCGAAACGGACTGCACTGAATACCCTTTTCTAATTATTTCTGGTATTTAAGAGTCTTCTTTCTCATCAGAGCGAGGTAAAAATAGAACGAGTGACAACAAAAGTTTGTTTCTTTCATTGCTCTGTCTTAGATATATTCTAGAATACTATTACCAAATGATTCGAGATTTCTTGTCTAGAGCATATCGAATAGATGACAAGATATCAAAACCAATGTTACTAATATTAAAGGTATAGTTCATCATTTAATATCTGAAAAAAAATTGAGTTGTAATAATCATATCATCACTTTTCAACTGTAGATCTGAGATAAGAATTATAACACTTCTTTTGTCAAAACGACATCAAAAATAAAATATGCGGTTTGATTAATAGTTTTTTACTGATCCAAACTGTAAATATTTCTTTTTGAAAATATTTCAAGATGAACAAAAGTTGTATTGCGATTTAAAAAAAAATGACCTGCTAAGGTAGTGAATTCCAAGACATTTTTCAAGTGTTAGAAATATCCATGTTCCATGTCGAGAAATTTCCAAGATGTTATATTGGATTTTTTCCTCTATGTTATGCTAAGCTATTTATGAGTTTTTTCCAACTTGCTTATATGTATATATATATGTATGTGTTTGTTCTAGTTCGGTTGTTGAAGCCTTCATTCATTATCTTGCTCTCTAGTCGTTCTTCTTTCTATTCCATTGTCTTCATATCCTCTTTTTATTACCATAGCTGACATATTAATACTAATAAACTGGATTCACATACACACAAATTCACATTATCTGCAAATAATATAATCTTGTCATATTGGTTCCCTATGCATTACTATAACGTTCGTATTCGCTCACATCGAACAAAAGTGTGCCATAGTCTGTCGACTAATAATTCACACAATGTTCTATTTAATGAGTACAACTTTTTATAAGTAACTTGATCGAACAAACTGCGTCTGTAGAATTTTACGTCTTTTCTTTCTCTATTTTGTTATTTGTTAAGAAATCTATCAATAATGATAGATGTCTAGATTTCTAAAAAAGCAAATTTCTTTTATTTTCAAGAACAGAAAAATTCAAAGAACAGTGCTTTAGAGAATTTGGAATGATACTGAAATTTTCGGAAGGAGAAGCTATGGAAATTTTAGAAACTTTCAGAATTAGTAAATAACAAAATCCTCAATATCCTTATCTTCAAAGTGTCGAACAGGTTCTTTTCTAAAATACGAATACTGCTTTTATTTGCGAATAATAAAATATGACGTAGTCATTTTTCGTTATCAGATCGCAATTCAAAAGGAAAACATTTCTCCAGCTAGTGACTCATTTTTGCCCACCATTTCATGGTTATTCTCCTTTCAGCTGCTTTTTTATGTTAGTGTGTGTTGTTTTAATGACGCTCGCAAAACACATTAGTCATGTGAGCAAATATATAAACTACTCAATTTTGATCGATGAAAAGCACAAAATGCAATAAATGAGACTATACACATATCTATAGTTGTTTCATTCTTATTTAAAGGATTAAGGTTTTATTTATCTTTCAGATATTTTTCTGCATTCAAATTGTTATTACAACAATGTGTCATATTGCAAACGGTATGTAAATACATCTTGCTACAACAATTATTGAAATAATTTTTCGAAACAAAATTACATGTATCATTTTTTATAACTTATTTATTGCTCCTCTAAACAAATTCGGAGTTTTATGTATCAAATTAATTTTATTTATATCTATTTAGCTATTCGCAAGCATAAGAGCATTAATCAATTGGACATCGCAACCGTGATACATTATTTACAAATCGTGCGTTATTATAATGATGTACAAACTGCACCGCTTGATTTATCAAACAAACCACCTCAATCTCCTTCAAATATTAGACGATCAATGTCCGTTAATGATTTATTGCCATCACTTCATGATTCAGTCGCAAAAATTTATCCCATTCTTGGCAGTTCAAATCCAATAGATTATCGTTATAAACCAGTAATGATTATTATACCACCGAAAACACAATGGCATTATCGAAGTATAAAAGATCTTGCAAAAAATCATATTCCTTTATTATCTGGCGATGGTCCTCAACGAACACCAATCCGAGTAACAGTAAGCTTTATTATAATTATCATGACTAATCATCAGATAAAAGCCTATATTATTCTTAGGTTCCAGAGCAATCTTCGCAACCGATGTATCTTTGCATTGAAGTTGTGACTTGTGATTATCAACCTCATGATTCTAAAGTAATTGTACCACACAAAACACGAGTGCGAGCAGATCAGCTAACTCATGATAACAATCTTCACTGTTTGAATTTCAATGAATGTAATTCAACAGACTATTTTGATCCAGTTAGAAAACATGTCTATTTACAGATAACTGCAGAAGAACATAGAGCTCAATTAAAAGAGTAAGTGATTGATTTTCTTCTTTTGAACGATTTTATTATCAATTTTACATATTATATTTAGCGTACGAGTTTACATGTTTAATTTATATCAAAATCAAACGATAAACAAAGACATAATCTCAACTAAAAAACTTGATTCATGCCGAATAAGTTTCTGGCTATGCTTCTACGAAAATGAACGCTATATACCTATTTCTGAACCATCATTTTCCTGTATTATTCAAGAGAGTAAGCATCATTAATTCTTTCTATTTTTCGCACCAGTCCTCTATTCTGAATAGAAAAAATGAACAATCGATCCCGTCTAACACAGCAAATAAACAGTCAAGACAATACGCCTCTGGAGCAATCGATGTTCTCCTTAACGTATTCCAATCAACATAGTAAAAATACTGATAATGAGAGTTGATGATGATTCAAGTTAGAATTCTTTTTTGCAACTGATGATAGTGAACGCATTTTGACAACAAGATAAATCTTATTTCTCACGTATTTTGAATCAGATTTTAGAACTTTTTTTTGTATATATATACGCGTTTTAGTAAACATTCATTAATAACATATTGTTATACGATCAGTGAATCGCTCAAAGATTTGAGCATTAAATAAAAACGTTTTTTCTATCGATATTAGTAAAATATGTGAATAGTCACTTTGAAATTACTCTGAAAGAGAACATAAGTACCGACTGTTCATAAAAATTTACAAACCATCACGAATAGCTTCTTTTCACGGAGATCTTTTATTGAGAACTACTTTTCTAAATTTATTCAACTCGAATAAAAACTATTGCCTTAATATCAAAAGACCAAAAAACTGTAATTATAGTATTATTTTTCTATATTATCGTTTTAGAAACAAATTATTTTTTTGTGAGTGCTGTTAGAAATGATCTACGTTTCTTCGGTTGACTCGGTTTTCGTGAAGCTCGTAGGAAAATATAAAAATCAGCTGTTGCTTCACTTGGTGGCTTTGGTATTCAAAGAGTAATAGATCTGAACGATCTTATTACGCTCTCGTAGTATTGTATGCTGGACGGTATTTGATGATCATATTGAAATCTAAACAAAGATCTCAGTTGAAGTTATCCATAATATGAGTTTTTTTCACCTGGTAAGAGGTGCGACTGATTCGAGGTTGTACAGAGTCGGCATAAATACCGAAATATTGGCAGTGAAGTCACTGATCAATAAACTGAAACTGGCACATCTCAAGATCAATTTTCATACTCCTGAGTCATACGATGATCAAATTGACTCATTTTTCTGTGACGTTTTCTGCTAGTCGATATTGTTAATAGTATCATAAAAAGATTTCAGACTGTCTAGTTCAGAACATCTATATGATATTTATAGAAAACTGAAACACCCCCTTGCTGTTCACATGGCTGACAGACAGCCATATAAATAGTAAAAGATGATTTCGAAACCTATTTACTTGATATTGATTTAATCAATTGGGGGTATAAGTATGGCTATTTATTGGTGTTGGCCTGCCGTTGACCTATAGTCAGAGCCATCCGATATATAACCGGTGCAATAATAATGTCAAAAAACAATTTGTTTTAAAAACTGAACATTTAAACTAAAGTTCCAGAACTAAGAACGTCTTTGTAAAGGAGCTTCTTCCCTAAGTGGCGTAGTAGTAAAAAGTCCAGGCTTAAATGTACACTCATATAATGCTTGTAATAAATTCCAATAATACGGTCTTCTGACTTTTCTTAATTTTTTTCGTCTAATCCATGATAAAAAGCAAGTGAATGAATTTGATGAAATGCAATTTTTCTAAAAGGAACAAATACATAATGAATTAAATTCTATTAAATGAAATTACTTTTGCTTGATTATTGAGCCACATATATAATATGCATAATTGTGTATCCAATCTGTAAGTAAAATTGTCTTTGATTAAGTTAGTATTCTCACAAATCCATTCCATTGAAATATTTGTTTTTCTATTATAATGAAATTCTGTACCCGATAAATATTTCAATCGATTTATAATATATGCTATCTCATTTTGGTCATATACAGAAATTTTTGAATGTTCAAGTGATGGAAAAATGGAGCATATTCGATCGATATCATCTACTTGTTTTATTTGAAGTTTACGAATTGAATAAAATGGAAAATATCCTTTACAGCCATTTAATGAGCATAGAGTGAGTTCAGATATATTTGGATTATAATAAACATAAGTTTCTCCCAATCTATATCTCTTTGGAATATCAAATGACGAACGGTTGTATAATCAAGTACACGATGGCATTCCCATGAAAAAAACAAATATTTATCAGGTGAAAAATATAATGTGTCACAATTATTATTATTATAATGCTTTTATTTCATAGAGAAGTGTGTGGTGCGTCCTCACGCTTCAATGTCATGAACGAACATCGTCCCTTTGACAAGAAAGGAAAAAAAAAAACCACATAAATTACACATTAGCTTTAGTTGTAACTGACAGTTTAAAAAGTTGAAATTGAAT